CTTCTTCTTCTTTTTTTTAATCAAACAGCTGCAGAAAAACAGGCCTATATAATACACTGACATTTTTTAAACCTGGTATTTGAAGCTATATTTAAAATAAAATAAAATAAAATACATCCACATTATACATCCACATTTTTGAATGCATCTGAAGTCATCTGATCAGAGCTGTTCAGCATCACAGTGCAGGTGTAGGATGCTGCCTAGGTGCAACAGGTTGAACAGCTGTGGGTAACATGAGTCAAAGCCACCCTCAGCATGTCCAGCCAGTTATGTGGTTTCTACGTGGCAGCTATCAGCTGGCTATTTAGAAGCAGAGCAACAACTTGATAATCTCCTGGGGCAAACGGTGGAAAGAAACCGGGCTGTTTTTAGAACTGTGGAAACTACTGGAGACAAAGAAAAACACAAACAAAAGGGATCTGGACTCTAAAGAGAACAAGTGTCCTCACACACCAGCTGATCTGCAAAGAAAGAGTTTATTTTCTTGCTGCCAAAGTAAATAAACCTCTTGCTTAAAACACTGGTATCCACTGAGAACTGTAAGTCTGGAGAATTTCAGGAATTTAAAGGCTTAAGTGCAGAGGAAACTTTAACTGAATTACTGCACATGAAGGCAGAAGAGTTAGAGACTGCAAAAGAAAAAGAAGACTGCAGTGAAACTGTTTTTTTCGCCCGGTTTGCTCAAACAGCAACTTGGAGTTTCGTTAGTAACTGTACAGCCTGAGCAAACAAGTTCATTTCCACTAAATTAAAAAGAGAGAAAAAGTTGCTCACCCCTTTTCCAAGTCTCTTCTTGATGTCATACTTCAGAGAAATGTGCTCTTCCACATCGGAGATGTTTGCTGATTCATATTTTTTGCTCATTTTTTCCATTCACTTCGTGCTCGTGCTCATTCAGTAATCATCACCAGGCTCTTTGATCACTCCTGGAAGAGATCAGGTGACTCTGAAAGCTGGCAGCCTGGTGGCGATGGCCGAACGAATCAGGAGTGCATCGTGCAATATTTCCATAACAATCAATAATTGGAAAGAATCTTACGTTAACAGGCCGATCTCTCTGCAATGCAGGATCTTGGATCTCACCTGGCAACCCTCATGCGACCATATGAGTCATACCCCGCGTCACTTATCAGTCGAGAGGCGGAACAGTTTTTACCTCCATTTAGCGCCTGAAAATTACACCTGATTCAGCCTGTGCTGTGCAGTATCTCTTGTTATTTATCAAGGTGAGCTCCCACTGCTCTCTGCCTCTACTCTCAAAGGTCCTGCAGGAAACACACGGGCCAGTTTTGTCTTTATTTGTTGTCCTGACAACGAATACGCTACTGCTCGCAGGTCTTAAAGTGACCGCCGCACATGCGCCGCCTGCATCGCTGCTGTCAATGTGCTGTGAGATAATCAAATTGTGCAATAGATTACCAATTACCAAAACCAATAGCGATACTTTTAACGGCAGCTTATGTAGGGGAGAACAGGGCCTCACAATTTATGAGATGACTGAGTCATTTATTGCCATTGAGTTCCCCGACCAGACCGATGCGGTGAAAGAGCTGAACCACCAGACACTGTAAAAGCATGGTTCTCACTTTGCAGGATGATTAGTTAACACAACAAAGCACACCTTTAGGCTTTCCATGTATTTTGACCTTAAATGTGTCTTTCTCTAAGGCACTTTGGGTCCACTTCTGTTTTTTAAATGTGCAGGTGACCCTGAATCCACCCTCATTATGATGGAATCAGGCATCACCAACGTGTTTATATACCACTCTTCATTTAATTCTGGGTTATTATTCATCTCTGGCTCTGCATGTCTTTGCCTGTCTCCCGCCCCTCACCCCCAACCCGTGACGGTAGATCGTTGCCCTTCCCTTAGCCTGGTTCTGCCACAAGGTTCTTCTTGATGAAAGGGAGTTTTCCCTTCCCATTGTTGCTAAAGAGCTTGCTCATCGGGGTCGTATATTATTGGAGCTTTATATTATTGAAAGGTCTTTATCTTACGATATTAAGCACCTTGAGGCAACCGTTGTTGTGATTTGGTGCTATATAAATAACATTTAATTGAAAAAAAAAACAAACATCAGCAGAACCCGGCACAGAATATAACAGATTAAATGAGAGACAGGATGTGGAGAGGAGTTTGCAGATGTGCATCTACAGTGGCAGACTAAAATAGCAACTTAAATAGCACTGCCTATATTATTCTCACCTGCTGGATACAGGAAGCTGATCTGCAGTTGAGCCTGACTTCATGGCCTGTCTGAACTACACTGCCTGGCTGCCTACCCCTCCCTGAGTCTTGTTCTGTCAGAGGTTTCTTCATGTTAAAAGGGAGTTTTTCCTTGGTGACAAGGACAGTATACTGGTCACTTAGATCTGAAATGACCAGCGGTAGCTGTAGCAATCACTCATTTCTATGCTGCCACCCTTTATAGTTAGGACCTGGAGCTCCTAAACAGCTGATAATTCTGGAACACAAATTGGACAAAGATTCTCACATCATGGAGGTGGAGCAGGAGTTCCAGGCTTTTCTGTCTGACCACGATACCACTGTGGTCCTCACAAACAAGGCCAGACTTCAAAAAGAGACGGGCAGCTCCAGCTCTCCACAGTTAGGTAGAGTGCATTAGACTCTACTGCCACCTGTGGTCTTTACCAAGTGGCGTTTCGTTGCAACTGATGTTGACTTGTTTGAATTTTCTATTTATTTATTTATTTATTTATTTATTGTTTAGATTAAACGTCCTTGAAATTTTTTCATGATCAAAACAAAGTCAGACCACATTAGTTTTGATATTTTTGCACAATAGAGTTCTATTCCTGCACAAATTGGATTCGAGCATTTAAGGTATTCATGAAAATATGTATACACACACACACACA